CGCCGCTGGAGGAAAACAAGGACCAAACCTAACCAAACACAAGCTAGAGTCGCTATTAAGGCCTACCTTGTGGCGGTAAGAGTGGTGAAATGTCAATATTTCTCCACTCTTGCATCTGCAGAATGCCGCCCAGTGGCCCTGTTCAAGATCACCCGATCTCTTTTGGGAAAGGGGGACTCAGTAGCCCATTTACAGGGCTGCACACAGGAGTTTTCTAGGCATCCAGAGGATAAAATCGCTCAGATCCAGTTCCAGTTAGATACCAAGCATGAGGCATGGTCTATAGAGATGGCCAGGGTATGTTCTTACCCTGTTATCTGGGAACAGTTTGATCCTGTTGAACCTAAGGAAGTAAACAGGGTCCTTCAGACAGTCAATGCCACCATTTGTCAACTAAATCCATGTCCCTCCTGGCTAGTTAAAGCTTCCTGGGAGGTGACATGTGGGTGGGTCCACGCAATGGTGAATTCATCCTTGAGGGAGGGGGTATTTCCAGCTGCCTTTAAGGAGGCGCTGATGCACCCCCTCCTCAAGAAGCCATCACTGGATCCCATCATACTGGACAATTTTCATCCAGTCTCCCACCTCCCCTTTTTACAGAAGGTGGTTGAGAAGGTGGTACTGTTGCAGCTCCAGAGGATCCTGGAGGAATCAGATTATCTGGACCCTTTTCAGTCAGGTTTCAGGCCCAGATACAGGATGGAAATAGCACTGGTCGCACTCACAGATGATCTCTGGCGGGAGTGGGATGGGGGTAGTGCATCCATCCTTGCTCTTCTTGACCTCTCAGCTTTCGATACCATTTCAACCATGGTATGTTTTTGGGTCGACTTGGGGAATTGGGAGTGGACAGCACAGTTTTGCGCTGATTGTCTTCCTTCCTACAATGTCGATCCCAATTGGTATTGATTGGGGGCAAGAGGTCCAGCTCGCAGCCGCTCCTTTCTGGGGTGCCCCAGGGTTCGGTACTCTCTCCACTCCTTTTTAACATCTACATGAAACCACTGGGTGATACCTGCATCACCATGGGATGAGTTATCATCAATATGCTGATGATACCCTGTTATACATCTCCATCCCGGGTGAGGTGAGTGATGGCGTGACCACCCTTTCGTGGTGCCTGGAGGCTGTGGGGATCTGGATGGGGTGCAACAGGCTTCAGCTGAACCCTGGTAAGAGGGATTGGAGGCCCCTCTGTATCCAAGGATTTACCATCTTCTGTTTTGGACAGAGTTGCACTGCCCTGGATGGACCCGGTGTGTAATCTGGGGGTCCTCCTGGACTCACAACTGCTGCTTGAGGAGCAGGTGGCAGTCGTGGCCAGGAGAGCCTTTGCCCACCTTTGTGTGGTACACCAGTTACGCCCCTTCCTGGATCAGGAGGCTCTCCAGTCAGTCACTCATGCCCTGGTCATCTTTCAGCTAGACTATTGCAATGTGCTCTACATGGGGCTACCTTTGAAGAGTATCTGGAAGCTACAGCTGGTCCAAAATGTGGCCATGCGGATAATTTTGAGTGCCCCAAGAACGGCGGATATAACACCTTTACTATGTGAGCTGCATTGTGTCCCAGTCTGCTTCTGGGTCCAATTCAAAGTGTTGGTTATCGCCTTTAAAGTCGTACATGGCATGGGTCCAGGTTACCCGAGGGACCGTCTTACCCCCATCACATCAACCCGTTCCACCCAGTAAGGCAGAGAGGGCATGTTGCAGGTCCTGTCAGCAAGAGAATGTCGACTGGTGGGGCCCAGGAGGAGAACCTTCTCTGCTGTTGCTCCCACCCTTTGGAACATTCTCCCCCGAGAGGTGAGGCAGGCCCCTACCCTACCGGCCTTCCAGAAAAAATTGAAGACCTGGCTCTGCCAGCTTGCATGGGGAGATAACAACTCTACCCAATCCTGTGGATGGCTAGCACCTCGATGACACTCCCTGAGTGATCACCAATTACTTTGTATCTTTTTATTTTGTATTTCTTATTGTAATATTGTAATTTTAATTGATTTTAATTGTTTTGTTAACTGCCCAGAGTTATTTAATGAGATGGGCGCTGACAAATTCAATCAATCAATCAATCAATCAATCAATAAAATATTACCTGAAGCAGTCTAATACAGACCCAACAACATCATCAGCTAACTCTTTCGGCAGCCTTCCAGTCAGCCTGCCAATCCTAAAAAAAGCAATAGCACTTCATTAAGACTTTCAACAGTCTATGTCTGTCATATTCAACATATCAATACCTATGCTGCTGAAATTTGAAATTTGTAATTTTGAAACTTAAATCTATAATTCTGGAATATATTGGTCTAACAAATTTAATTTAAACTGAAGTTTAAATAGTTCAGATTTCTATGTCTGCATTCTCTATAGCACAGGCAAGCCTAAGCAGATAACCTCTAATATTCTACTGCATTTAAATCTTTATATTCTGTAAGAAAGTAAGCACCATTTGCAATGCAGATATACCTAATTATTTTATTTTAGATTTTCACTTACTCTTTTCCAAAGATAGCAGTTTAAAAGTTTGGACTCACTACCTGTGAAGGCTGTATGCCTTATCCCTTAATAAACGAAGCATCATTTTGTGTTAGGAGGTTTTTAATTGTTATAATTTCTGAGACGTGAAATTTTGGGGGGAGCTTTTGCTACTTTTTTTCCTATTTCAGGATGAAAAAAAACACTGTATTTCATATGCCATATCCCTAAAATGCACTTCTCTGTCACAGAAAGATTCAGAAAAAGATCAAAATCTCTTACAGACAGGTAAGTTTTTTCTGTGTTTATAATACTGGACAAATCATCCAGCAAGGAAATAGGAAACTTGATGGAACTAATTCTCCCATCACTAGATAATACCCAGATCAAACCCCTATAAGTACATTTCAGATATGTTCCTATGATAGTCTTTGGTGCATTTAGCAGAAGAAGGGAAGATACACACCAAGCCCCAGTAAATCCTTACATTATTTGCAATTGCTTTTCATTGTTCAAGAGTAACTCAAGAGGCTTTGGAAAACAGAAGTGGAGATAAAATGAGCACTGAATTTATTTATTTATTTTCATGTATTTTTATAATGACTGAAAATGGGTTCAAGATTTTTAAAATAGGAAATTGTATATACATACTCAAATGCTAAATAAATAAATAAAGGACAGGAAAAAGACTTCATAATTTCGAATATAATACAATCCCAAAACGAAAAAAAGTAAATATTGACAGCAAGCAAGCAAGTCCATAAATTAGCCCATGTTGTTTTGCTGTACTAAACAGGGCATTTAATAGCACTGTGTTCTGTATCTTTCTAGTTACCAATATTTACAGATTAAGTTGTGTAAATTAGTTTAACTCAAGGGCACATACCCTTTTGCCGCAGACCATCTGACAACAGTATCTTTGTCTTTCAATCCAATCAATAATTGCTCTGTGAAAAAATGTTTTAAAATCATAACATGAATTAAAGGCAACCAAACATTTATACTATTGCCATCCAACATATATTTGTCACATTCTTTTCCAGCCCAAGCCTCTTTCCAGTGAGGGGGGAGGAACTTGTTGCTTTCTCTTAGCACTTCATCATCTCTAGCATCATTAGGAGACAAATCTTACTGGAGTGATGGAGGATCATGTCTTGTTTCTAAACATGATTTTGCAAAGAAAATATAGTTTGTTTGCTGGTTTGTTTGTTTGTTTGTTTGTTTATTTAGCTGAACAAGGCACAAAGGAGTCTAAGCACATGTCCTTAAAAAGAATGAAGACAAAATTAATTATGCCGGAACATTCAAAATGGCGCATGAAAGTGGGGAGGCACTCATCCTCTTTGTCTTCCCACGTTCCTGCTATGGACTGAAAAAGTGCTTGGTCTGGAATGTTCCCCCTCCCTCCTGATAACCTTGATCCTCCATTCCAGTATCTTCCTTGCTCATGCCATCCATTACATCAGCACAACTATATAGCTGTCTTGGCAGTATCATGAAAGTGATCTGTCATTTCCTTCTGCCAGGATTTTTTTTTTTTTAATTCTCAATCCAGCCTAAATTTTTTTCAAGATAGTATACAGAAATATTCAATTTGATGTAAAATGGCAGGAATTATGTCTAACTCTATTATCTTTTGAATTCAAAGCAGGGCAATGCTGTGTGTGAATAAACAGAGTGCTCAGGAAGGAGAATTTACACTGAGTGAAATTGTCTAAAATCTGTCAGAAGATACGCATAATGGTATAATTCAGGATTTGGAAAACCAAACTTTTTGGATCTGAAGAACTTGATAAAAATTTAATAGCAACATACTGAATTTTTGAAAATGTTCTACGCATAGACAGATAAAAATGAATTCAAGGCAAAATATAAAATATCCTGGGAATTACATTTATTATGAGTGTTAACTTACCCCATAGAAAAAGGGTTTAATTAACTTAAGCTTCTGAATGAAAGGTGGGCTATATGCTTAAGGAATATTCAAAGAACCCTCTTCTATCTATCTTATTCATATTTAATGTAATTGTTTGATAAATATCACATGGAATAAGAACACCTAAATAAATAAATTCAGTTCATATATGAAAATAATAATTAATGTATTAAAACAAGTCTTTGCCTATTGTCATCAGTTCTGACTTAAATCAATTAACAGAGCATCCAAACTTGCCTGAACACATTAATCAGGTGAATCAAGTTAGAAACTGAAGTATAATGTTCAGAAATAAACAAATATTGTCAGCAAATTTATACTGGGAAAAATGGATATTTTAATCTTACGTAATATCATAGACTAAGAGTTGGAAACATATTTTACAAATCAAAGGGTTGGGTCTTTGATAGCTTAATCCACGTGGTTTATTCAGCTGGTTTGTTATTGAAGTTGTTATTAACTTGATTTATATCTGAATTAAAGATAGCTAACAATATTTTGTGTATTTTATTGTATTGGTGTTATTTGCGCTTTTTGGTTATTGTTCTTGACATTGTTTTGAATTAGGACAACCCCTCCCTAGAGTCTCACGGGGTATATCCACTAGGTTTAGTCTGGCAAGATTCTGTCTATTAGAAGCAAGCTAATAAAAGAACTATATTGGACTAGACTGCCTCATCACTGTTCTTGGGCTGGGCCTGACAGCTCCTTTAGTTATCAGAAGCCAAGCTTACCCAGAGTGTCCCTTGATGAAAGAGGTGGTACAAAAATGGTAGCTTTTTTCTTTTTGATCACATTTAAAGGTAGTCCTTTAAACCTTTCTTTAACCTTTTTTTTTTAAAAAAAAGTATAGATATGCAAGTTTTTACTGGCATGGCTTCGTACAGATTAACTATGCCTGTCCTACAGAATTAGTTCATGAAAGTTTTCAAGCTATCATTCTGTAATACCTCAGAAATTATAACACTGTGCAGCAATTGAGTGGTCAAGCAAATATAGTTTCTCTAAAAATGGCAAGTGGAAATTCACAAGTAAAGCAACTTCAATTTTTAATTTTTATACTGCTCTTTTAACCAAAAGAAGAAAGACTATGCATATTACATCTATCTCCTACAATGAAAATCACAAGGTTAATGCTACTGTCAATTGTATCATATATATATCAGTGTAATAAAGTCTTCAAATTATACCTAAATAAAATCCAAAAAATGGTCTGCCATAAACCAAATAAATAGCTCAGTCCTATCAACAAATCATCAAATGAATTTAGAACACAGTTGATGACTTTTTGGCAAAATCTCCATAGGATGAAAAAGATTATAAAGTTGCCCTTTTTTAAATTTCATATTAATACCAACACAATGACAGATTCTACCATTAATTAAAGATGGGAGAAGAGAAAGAATCAAAAGTATGACACCTAGATATAAACAATATTTTTCTAAGCTATTAAACAGAAATAACCCAAAATTGTTTACATTCTTACCTCCCAGATAACTTAAGGAATAAATATACGAATGAGTAAATCATATTCATAAACCACATTGGTCAGGATATCAGATCTATTTTTGATCAAACATACCTATAACATTTTCAACCTCTCCTGGAATATCATATTCCTCTTCTTCCTCATCTCCTGTGATAACTGCTACATTTTCTGTTTTATGTGGAATGGGACCTCCAGCAGAAAACTGCAGATTTGCAGCTAATGATCGGAATCCCCGTTGATACCTAGAAACACAATTTTACCACGGTTATATTTTTAGTACAGCATGGAATTTTCTATGCATTACCTTCAAAATATCCATAAAGTATATTTTAAAAATGAATATCAAGTATTTACAGAGTGCAGGTTTTCATAACTGTCACTTATTGGTTAAATAACTTGTGAGGAAAATTTGTGCTAACATTTTGTTATCCACGTCTCACATAGAACTATCTAGAAGTCATTTCACCAATAAAATACCTATACATTAACATATAATTTATTTCTTAAATATAATGCAAATATTTATATTTAAATATGAATATAGTTAAATACAGAAGAATGTGCAATATAAACTCAGGCTTTGTGGACACAGTTTATAACTTAAGAATCACTCTTTTTTTCCATTATTACTGAAGCAAACTGCCTAATGTTTAAAAATCTGTTGGTATCTGTTTTATCACATATTTATTTTTTGTTTTATTAATAAAAAGCATTAATATATTTCCTTTTAGTAACTAATATATAATCCATATTAGTTCTCTTTGGTACTTGTTACTTCTTTAAGCCAGAGGTAAAAAACCATGGCCCATAAGCAAAATCTGGCACACTGCCTGTTTTTGTATGGCCCACAAGAATTGGCAGGTGGACACCAGATAACCAGGTCCAAGCCTCAGCTGAGCTCCAAGGGCTGAGGGGCAAAGCTGAGGGGCAGGGCGTCCCAGAAGTGACAGACCGGTGCCATTCTTGCTGGCTACTGCATTCCTTCACCTGAAGACCTGTCAGCCACACTCGCAGAGGTGGAGGAGGGATAGGATCTAGTCTATTAAAGAAAAAGTTGGCCAGCCCCTGTTTTAAGCAATAAGTACAATTTTGATAATTTGATAATAAAAGCATTGATAATCTTTTCAGAAATATATACAGGTAGTCCTCCCTTAACAATGGTAATTGGGGCCGGAATTTCCATCGCTAAGCGATATGGTCATAAAGTGCAATGTCATGTGACTGCATCACTTAATCCTGGCACTACCAGTTGCCATTATTAAGTGAGGACATGTGACTTCCTGCCAGCTTCCAACAAGCAAAGTCAATGGGGAAGCCGGCAGGAAGTTGCAAGTCCTGGTCACAACAAGCCTTTCTTGAGGCAGCTCACAAGCAGGCCAGCGAGTGGGTGAGTGCTACAGAGTGCAGCCAGGACGGGGGGAGGGGTGGGTGGACATCCAGGTGGATGCTGCAGCCTGGCATGAGCACGGCCAGGCAGGGGAGTGAGCACTATGGAGTTTGGATGGATAAGCAGGTGGATATTGAAGCATGGGATGAGTGGGTGGGGGGTAGGGGGTGCTGCATCCTTGTATAAGCGCAGCTAGGCAGGGGGATGCTACAGCCTGGTGCAAGGGCAGCCAGGCATGCAGGCATGTACTATGGAGGGCAGGAAGGGGGTACTGTGGGCAGGTGCATGCTACAGAGTATGAGATCCCAGGGATCTCATACTCTGTAGCAGGGCTTCTTGAGAGAAAAAGTGGCAGGAGCAGGAGCAATTTACAGGAGCGACTTGTGACCTTCCCTGCCAGCTTCCCCATTGACTTTGCTTGTAGGAAGCCAGCAGGAAAGGTCGCAAATGGCAATCACATGATTGCTGCAACCGTTGTAAGTGCAAATTATTTGTGGGGGCAACAAGTGCAGCCTTTTCAAGACCCTGACTGCCATTTCGCTAGAGAGTTACTGACCTCCATCTGGCAGTATTCAGTTCTGACTGAACAGCAAGTTGGAGGACCTAATCTGGCCCAAACAAATGGGGCACAGCAGAGGTGCAAACGGACTGAAGCAATAAAGCCTGCAACAAGCCACAGATAGCAACAACCAAAGCATAAGGAGAGAAGGACAAGAAATTATCACAGTAAGGGTAGATCATAGCATAGTGGTTTTTAATTAAGGAGATAGATGTGAATGTTTTATGGCTTTGGAAGAGGGGTCACGTAATTGCCATTTGCAACCTTCAGTGCCAGCTTCCAACAAGCAAAGTCAATGGGGAAGCTGGCAGAAGGTTGCAAATGGCAACTACATGACATTATGCTTAATGACGGTGCAGGATTCACTTAACAATGGCAGTCGGAAGTACCAGAACTGCTGCCATTAAGCAGTGTGGTCATGTGATGTCACACTTTATGATCACGTTGCTTAGCAACAGAAATTCTGGTCCCAATTGCCATCGTTAACCAAAGATTACCTGTATTTCTACTTTTTGTGCTCTGTTTATTTTCTATGCTGTTTAATCTCTCTCTGCCCTCCCTTCCCTCCCTCTTCCCTTTCTTTACATGCCCTTTATTCTTGCTATTCCTAGTGTTACAATGAGTGCTTTAGCGGGAAGAAAAATTTAGCAGCCTGATTATGTTTTTCAGCAGTGGTACCTTTGTTCAAGGAGAGTAAGGCAAAGGGAAATATAGAAGGGAAGGGGCATTTATATCATAGCTTTATAGCATCTTTTTAAAACAATAAACCACCTAGGATTTGTTTTTCTCCATAATCCTAAATTTAACTTTGAAAGGAAGATTTAACTGTAAAATAAACTGTGGAAAATGTGAAGTAATATAAATTAACTCTATAGAGGAAGAAGTTGCTTATACCTACGGAATGCCAAAGTTCCTACACAAATATTACTAAACCAGAATTTCTCGTCATCAAATGAATGAGAGATGATTTATTACTTATCTACTCCTATTAATGATAGATCTTACAACTCAGGTTAGCCTAATAAAAGGAAAGAAGGCAAGTAAAAACATGACTATGAAAAGAACAAACCTCCACTTTGCCACCTTTGGCTTAAGAAATGTAAGACCAAGTCGCTGAACAAGTTTCACTCCCAGCTTGCGAAGAATCGTTTGGTTACTTTCAAACAGCTTGCAGTTATCAAGACATTCAAGCACGGTAGAAGCTATAATGAATAAATTTCTCTATCAATAAATTTCTCCATTTTTTGTCCACTGTATAATGTGTAAGAGACACATTAAAACATTTTCAGCAGAAGACTATGAAACATATGCTCAGCTTTTAGTACCAATACAAAAGTAAGTTCTTTATAAAAAGAAAATTAGTTCTGACACTTAAGACATTCACACTGCACTGAAGGTAAGCATTTGGTCCCAGTTCCATAGTTCCCCACAAAGACTGGCTTGACTTATTAGGAAAACAAAATCAGTGCACGGTATAAAATAAAATATTTAGGCAACGTTTTCCAGAAAACCTATTGCATTAAGCAGCCTATAGTTTCAACTGAGTCCACATTTTATAGCAGGTACAGCCACAACCTATCTTTCAGTTAATTACCTGGACTCACACTCCCCTTTTTATTATTGATAAACTTATTAATATAATCTAACATAATAATGTACTTTAGGATGTCCAGAGTCCAGAATTCCAGGACTTCAGCTTGCCATCTGGGGATACACAATGGTCTCCTCCTCACCTTATTCCTTTCTTAACTATTAATCTTTCAAAAAGAGGAATCTAGAATGCTGATAGTGAAGTGTCAGTCTCCATGTTATTTTAAGAATGCCTTTGAGCCTCAAATAGATCCCTCCAAAGCTTGATAGATGGCTATTATACACAATACCCTAAGTGTGCCCCCCTACACAGGAAAAAAAAAAATTAAGTTAAAAGGGTAGGAGAGGGTGGGTCTCAATTAGCATTCTGGTGAATGGGTGCATTCCGATTGTTTATATCCCTCAGCTGTTAATCAGCCTCCAATATAGCCATCTGTAGGCCAAAAGAATTGGGAATGCTTGTCTAACTAAGTAATATTTTTTTTATTATTCAATACACAAATTACTTACTCCAAGAAATGACCTTAGGCTTCAGACTATGTTTCACTGCCAAAAACTGGATATATTATAAACTGATAGAAAATGAAGGAAAAATAATTCTCTTTTATATCTGAATAGTCCTACAGCAAAATTGGGGAGTTAAAAGATGCTTGAGATTAAGGTATTACTAAAGGTCAAAGAGAAAGGGGAAAAGGCTGATAACAATCATTTTTCCACCATACAGAATAAAATGTACTGATTTTAAAAGTTGCTATGATACCTAATGTATTTAAACCTAGCTTAGAGCTCAAGATACACTATTAGAACATAATCACATTCCCATTTAACAGCAGTAAATGGAATTATTATTGGCATAAGCAGAGTAAAAAATGTTAATATCAAGAACTAAGAATAGGTACAGATGTTTTCCTATATTTATACTAAAACAGAATTCAATGATGAGTATAACTGTAAAGATCAATCCATGTTAATTTGGGATTGGTAGAATACTTCTGGACACCTCGGGCATACTTCCAAGATCTGATATTCTTAAACTTGAGAAGCTCCTTTGTAATTCCAATATAAATTGATCAATTCTACTGAGCTCTGTCCAAATCAGCCATCTCCATAGAAAGGAACACCACAATCCCCTTCCGTCTAATTGTATCCATTTTGAAAAGTCAATAGATGCAGATAAGATTTTTTTGTTTTCAAATAAATTAAAAAAAAAAAAAAAAGCAGGAGTTCTAGTCCTGCCTTAGGCATGAAAGCCAGCTGGGTGACTTTGGGCCTGACACTCACTCTCAGCAATAGATGCAGATAAGATTTTTTTGTTTTCAAATAAATTAAAAAAAAAAAAAAAAAGCAGGAGTTCTAGTCCTGCCTTAGGCATGAAAGCCAGCTGGGTGACTTTGGGCCTGACACTCACTCTCAGCCCAACTCATCTCACAGGGTTGTTATTGTTGTGGGGAAAATAGGAGGAGGAAGCAGTATTAGGTATGTTCGCCACTTTGAGTTATTTATAAAAATAGGAAAGGCAGGATAAAAAAATCTAAATAAATAAATGAGTCCCTGTATACATTAAACCGAAAAGTGTTCAGATAGAAGAGCATTTGGCAGGATTTTATCCTTATGTGTCTGTCTACTAGACTGAGTTCTCAAACCTGATCTCCAAATAAGCTTTGCCTCAGACTTCCTGTATTAATATGCAAATTATCTTCAGATGATTACAGTAACATTCTAAAAGTTTAGGACAGGGCACAAATGACTGGGAAAAACAGTTCCTGATTGGCGCTCTTGTATAAGACACTTCTACCAAGTATTAGTTAACTACTCATGCAGTGCACTCCACACTATACAAGAAGTTCCACAGAAGGTTTTTGAAGATACAGAGGGAAGGAGGAGACAAGAAAGCCCCCTTGTATGAGCTTATTTCTAGCTGTGGTTTTCAGGATTCCAGTCATTGATTTTAAACAGGAGAGTCAAGAGAAGTATAAAATCTTAACACTATAACTATCGGAACTCTGTATCATGTTTATTCTGTTCTGATCTTTATGTTCATGGTACCATGAAGAGTCTTACCATATGGTAAACAATCTTCCCTTTTGCCATGTTTAAAAAGTTGTGCCTAAGAAAGGTAAAAGAAAAATATATTACTGAACAAACGAAATACAAATATTAACCGAAATTTTGAAATATGAGTATCAAGAAGTAATGTTCCAAGATTTTCTGTCATACTATAATAATCTTAACCACAGTACATAACTTTAATATGTATTTATGATCACATTAAAGCTTCTGGGAGGCTAAATTAGGGTCAGGCTGACACTTAATGATGAATACATCAACCAAGAACAGCTATTAGCTCAAATGCAAAGACTTGCACAATAGAATAAAGAGAAAGCAAAGGTTTCTTTGCTTAAAGTTTAAAACTCGAGAGCCAGAGTAGTGTAGTGTGGTGTGGTATAATGATGTGATTATAGACTGAAATCAGAGACACCCACTACCTTGAGCATCCTGAGAAAAAGCAGGATATACAACTTAAATATATTACATTTGTAAGCTGCTCAATAACCAAAATTCCACTGCGAAGTTCTATCAAAGGTTACAGCTCTAGGTAAAATAAAATAAAATAAAATAAAATAAAATAAAACAAAACAAAACAAAACAAAACAAAACAAAACAAAACAAAATAAAATAGAAGTTGAAGTTGAAGTTGAAGT